AAAAAAAAAAAAAAAAAAAAAAAAAAAAAAAAAAACTTTGCTTAGAAGCACTTGTAGTATCATAGACAAATTCTTTCTTGAATAAAAAAAAACAGGGTTTAGAAGCTCACTAAATCTAATCACTGTTCTAGACTTGTATCAGTTCTTCCCTATTTAATTTTTTTTTAATTTTTTTTATTTTTAATACCCCATTAATGTTTGCTGTAATTGACAGCAGTACTGTCAGTGTGTGAAACTTGAACAACAACTGCAACAGGTTAAATGAAAGTAAGATTTATTCGCTTGTTTGAGGACAGTTAAAGCTGTAGTAGAAAAAAATTGTACAAAAAATGAGAAATATAAATTTTCTGAACAACTGAAAATCAGAATAGTTTTACAATGGTCATAATTATAAAGATTAGTATTATATTATTATATAAGACCCATGTAGGTTTCGGAACGTTCAACAGTTGCATCAAACCATATCACATTTTATTTAATAAAAACCCCTTTTATAATGATTACGATACCGATTCTGGTACCGATTTTACACTTCCTAACATAACATTACAGGCGATATAACAATAAGCACCGTTTAAATGTTGTCAAGGTCAAAATAGCCAGGTTTTCCTTTTCCAATCCTGCTGTGCCATAATTTAGTGGAGTTGTTTCCACTGAACTGTATGTATACATTCGTCATGCGATAAAATCGCTTTCTTTAAGATCAAATACTCATTAGGATGGCGCAACTTAAAATTGAGAATATCAATTTTCAGTTACTTTCGGCCAATTCATCCCTGTCTTGCGTAGCATAACAATAAGACTCTTTGGAAGAGTAGTAAAGTTGACTGATTTACAACTATGCACTAATGCCTCTACACAGCATGCGAATAAATGTTTTTTTTTTACTTGAGACATTATCAAAAGTTTTACTAAACTAGCTTTGAAATTGAAATAGAAATTTTTATTTATTGTTTAGTTTTTTGCTGATGTGCTCTAATAAAGCGTCTCAGATAACTGTGACAACTAGTTAGATAAGAAGGTGTAACCGTTAAACGTCTTGTCGTGATAAGCGATTCGGCACTGAATAAAAGAAAAATTCAAAACTAACAATTTATAATTAAAATGGCAAAAAAAAAAATCAGTGAGAAAAAGTTGTAAGAAGATTTGACCTCTAAAGAAGTTCAATGATGACATAAGTTGAGTAACGACATTCGGTCACTAAGAGGTCACCTCGGGGCGGGTCGGTTATAGAGCTGCAAATGACCAGTGCAGAACAGCCCTAAGCAGACTCGCTGACCTTTCGACCTTTTGTAATATCCGTCAAACCGACATTTTTCCTTTTTATTCTCAACTGTTGCAATAATCGCGAATGGACAGTATTGCCGTTCAGTTCAACCCAAATTCCGACAGCAAAAGTGCAATTTCTCAACAAAA